CTCGATCCAGTTGTCTATGGCTTTGGGGTTCTTCTCTGGGTTTTCGATGCTCTTTACTTTTACTTCCTGTGAAAGAGATGTGCATCACTTTCTCATTTCACTTACCAGGCTAAAATCATCAAAGCACCTTAAGTCTTGTAGTGTGTGAACTCACAGCAACATTGTGTTGTTTGCTGTTCTCTGACAGCCACAGGGAAAGCACTGTTGGGTCTGACTGTTTAATGCACGGCTCATCCAGAACCAGGAGACCCAGATTCTCAGCCTTCCCATCTGGACGTGGTACCTGTGGGTTGAACAGAAAGATTCAGAAACTGAAAATTGGACACTCGTGTCCAGTTCAGATTTGAAAATTGTCACTCACTTTGAGGAAAGCATCAATGTCCCCCACAGCTGGAATGAAATCAGGGATAAAGGGCTTCAGTTTGTGGTCAAGCTCTATCGTCTGTGGAGTATATCTGAAAGAAACAGTCATGCAATTAATACCAGTGAGAAAACAAGAATCCATGAGATATCTACGAGACAAAAGAGTGTATTTTGTGTTTCTTCAACTATAGATACTTTTATGTTCCAAGTGTAAGAGGTCAGTTTGCTAGATGTTCTTCTGTTCATGTTTCATGTGCAGGTGCACATCAAATGCTGTGAAGGTGTGAAGTTTGTGCATGCTAACCGTGTGATGTACTGAAACAGCTCTTTGATCTCGGCTGACACAGGAAGATGTTCATAATCAGCTGGGTCATATGCACTGTGAGAAATCATCCACACACATCTACATTATTTTCAAAAATAATAAAATAGCTTTTTATTTTGAGTAGATATTATAACTATAATGCTCTTACAACTATTGATATAACATATTACTGAAACATGTTGCAACTTATAACACTAGTCCACTTCCTCACTGCATGTCTCTTCCATCAAAGTAAATGAAACATTAATATCAATCTCTCTCATCTTGGACAGCAGACAGTGTCTCAGATGAGCGGCCCCACCCTTCTGGAGCAGTTCCAGGCTCCCCTTCCTCCTCATCAGACTCTGTGTCATCAGAATCATCGTCACCATCATCGTCATCCTCGTCCTCATCCTCTTCATCATTCTGATTAGTAGCACGGGCACCAGGTGGCGGCTCTTTCTTTCTCTGCTGTCAGATGTGAACAGGTCATTCAAACTTCATTTTATTCATTCACCAAATATGAGTTAGTAAACTTACTTTAGTATCCTCTTCTAGTTTAT